CCGTCCATTCAATTTCCTGCGAGTTATACCGGATCCTGGCGACCAAGATCGTCGCGCATCGAGGAACGACAGACAGGTCGACGTGCTATTCTGTCCCTCCCACCCGCTGTCAACCCTTTCCACTGATTTCCAGCGGAAAGGGCGGAATTCTGCGGAGTTCCGTCGTTGCACGCGTGTACAGCCGCATGACCACGGCCAAGGGTCGATGAAATGAACGTAGGTCAGTTATGCGAAAGCTGCTGCGTGCGATAAAATCGGATAAAGTCGGCTTGTCCGCCGACGCCGTCGTAAATATCATTTATTCCCGTCATTATCGCTCGCGCGCGCGTATTATGCAATTAACATGGGGATGTATAATGCATGAGCAGCGTCTGCATCAATGCCGATGGCCGTCTCGATTTTCGCATGCGGCGCATACGAGAACCCGATAAAGGCGTAACGCGCGACTGCTGTACGAAATCAGTTTCGCATGTGTAATGTGTATATCCAATAAGATATATATACATACATATATCTTTCGCATCTGAAAATGAAACACGCCCCCATTGCTCTTATTATTCTTTCTTCTAGGAGAATGTATGATCTGACGTTTTTTTTCCACAAAGAATCACACAGACAGTGAAAACATATTTTTCAAAGGTCTATTAAAATCTATAATAGACCTTTTAATTCATTTTAATCAACTCTTGGTGGATGCCTATCTTGATGGTATTATTATTACATTTCCTACTCGAAGAAAGTTTCCATGCGTGAAAATTTTGACGAAACTTCTTTTTTTAAATTAGACTAAAAAATAAAACACGTGGAATAATTTTGGTGCTTCTAAAAACACGAATTTGGAACTGTTATCTTATCCTATTAGTATCTGGAGTACTTAGGGATCATTACAATTCCATTAACAGTTAATGAGAATATACACAGTTGTCTCCGAGCATTTAGAGATAAGAATTTTTATTTTACACGCATATCAGCAAACCTCTTGTTGACTTGCGTACGCTTTTAATTTTTGCATAGAAAACAATGCAATCGAATTCAGCGTGAGTAATTTTCGCCAGAATGATTTAATAGGCAAAGAATGGAAGGCAAGTCGATATAAATGACGTTTATGTCTCTCTTAAGACACTACTCTTAAAAAAGGCGGGAGTCGACTAACTGACACACTACGTTACGCGTTGCGTAAAACAGCGCGTGCTATCGTAACGTGGAAAGGTCAGTGTCTCTTTCTCTCGACGGGGACATCGTGATTCGCAGCGTGACGGACGTTGCCCGAAATATCTGCCAGGCGGAAAGTCGAGAGAGGAAGATCGACGATCGTCCAGCTTTATCCGGCAAGCGCGAGAGAACGGCGGCGTAGAATTGTTTTTTCCTCGTTTTCGGCCACTTTATAGTCGACCGGATAATTTATGACTGCTGATACGCGACGAAACGACCGCGGACTTTTTGTGCGACGAGACTTGTTCGCGAATGCGAAAAAAGATGCGTGCTTGATGGTTTTTAACACTTTTTTTTGAGGAGCTACAATAATGCGGAAAATTACGGAATAAAACATCACTGTTTGCATACGCGCTCTTTTACTACGTGTTTTTGTAATATTTAACGGTAAACGCGGCTGTCTGATCTTTTTCTAACATTGAATGGATTTCATGTGATAAACATAAATTTAGCATAAGAGTTGGAATGTTTCAAAAATGCGAGTTAGTCTTTTATAGTCTCTATCAACAATAAATAATTCTGTCTTTATTATCGCGATTTGAATGGTTACCGTTTTGTAACCATATATATATAGCTCTACAAATTTTAACAAAATATTCGAGCAGTGATTCAGAAAATAAGTATTTTTGATGACATTTGTCACGCTCAGGTATACTAATAGTGAAGTCTTTTTGGTATTCACCATAAATCTTTCGAAATCTGATAAAAACTACGAAATAAATTTTCACGAGAAAGTGAGAGACTACATGAATCTGGTGTCTCAGTTTCTTACTTTAATGATCAAAATATATTTTTTTCTGTTTACCTAAAACTGTAGAATTATTTGAAATAAAATCAAAATTCTAAAAAATAATTAATGAGTTTCTGCGGAACAATACATCAGTTTCGCACATGAAATGAAGCGATAATTCTTGCAGAAATTAAATCGTTATTAAAAAATTTAATGATGAATTTCGCGAGACACTGTTTGTCATCGCTCGTGTTTCTCCCGCACCTCGATTTGCTTATAAATTATCAAAACGAGTTGCCGAGCCACGATACTGGAGTCTCCTAAATGACGACAGCACCGGGGCCAGGCCGATTGGCAATGTCTGGGCCTGTAATTAGGTTTGCGTTGGTGGTAACGTTATTACTCGGTAAGCTTGCAATTTCCTCGTGGCCGCCGCTTGTCGTCTCCAACCGGTTCCCTTCGTGGCGCTCCGCGGTTGCCACTAAAGCTGTTTCCTCCTGGACCGAGAGCGATCGACCACCGGACTCGTCTCGCTTGGACCCAGATGGGGGAAAAAAGGGCGACGAGGTGCTCATGGATGAGCCATCCTCATTCGGATAAATTGTTCCATCTTTTCGTAATGGGGCGTTGCACGAAACGACGTAAGGTTACACTGTGCTGCATTAAACGCAGTAGGTGGTGTCACACACACGTCAAGAGACTTTTTACATTATCGAATTGTATAATATAACGACGTCTTATTACAAGCTGCTGATAGTCAGGAAATATTCAATTTTTAAGAACAGATATAAGATATATATATATACATATATGTAAAATTAATATGCACAGACTGTCCTTCTATAACAATTAACAAATTACAAACGGGCCATTAGGAATCGGCGCTGTAACAATTGCGTGTTTATTTCGATTGATCTAAAATAACGTAAATTCTTTTCGTGAGTTAAAATTTAGGACAAAACGACGATAATTAAATAAATATAATATATATTGTACGAGTCGATGATGTTCATGCTGCGGTGTCAATCGTCGTAATAAAAACGGATTATTATTAGTTATAGACTTTTAGTGGTCGGTCAAATAACAAAAATATGAGGATAATTTATAGCTATTCCATCATCTGTGAAGCCAACCTTGTACTACAGATATTTAATTCTTATCATCCTAGAATACAATTCACACGTGAGATTGGCAATAAAACTATCAATTTTCTAGATACCACTATTATTATTGAAAACAATGTCATCAAATGACATAAATCACAAACCATCTTCTCTGGAAGATATCTTAATTACCAGTCTCAACACCCGATATCCCAAAAAAAGGAACTGATAGGGATGGTTGATAGAGTTTTTTTTAATCTCACATCCAGATTTCCATCAAAAGAACCTCGAACAGGTGGTCAAAATTTTATTAGACAATGATTATCCATCAAATTTTATTTTCAATATAATACGAGAAAGAATTAAAGTTTTAATATATAAAAAAATTCTCAATCAAACCACCAATAATAATAATGATTCCTCAAATAAGGACAAGAAAGAAAAAAAACGAGCTGGTTCACAATTCCATATGTACAGTCCGTTTTTGAAAAATTTTTAAATATCATCAAAGATTCCAATACTTTAAACTCTCATTTTTCAGCCTTAACAAACTCAGTTCAATGATAAAAGCGCAAAAAAGATCCTCTTCCTGCAGATTGCAAAAAGAACATTGTATATAAAATTTCTTGTAATGATTGTGACGCTTCCTATGTTGCACAAACATGTAGACAATTAAAAACGAGGATTTCCAAACATAAAAGTGACATCAATAGCAATAAAATCAATCCTTCAGTTGTCACGAATCATAGAACACGTCACAATCATGATTTTGATTGGAATAACGTTCAAATATTAGACATAGAATGTAACTACAATAAAAGACTAATATCAGAAATAATAAACATCAAGCGACAAAAGAACGGTATTAATTTAAACAAAGACATTGAGTTACTTAGTTCCTCATATTTTTGTTATTTAACCGACCACTAAAAGTCTATAACTAATAATAATCCATTTTTATTACGACGATTGACACCGCAGCATAAACATCATCGACTTGTACAATATATATTATATTTATTTAATTATCGTCGTTTTGTCTTAAATTTTAACTCACGGAAAGAATTTGCGTTACAACAATTATGGTGTAAGGACTAATTTGTATTTGACGTACTCCTGAGGTGAATTTCCATAGCAATTCCTGTAAGTTTTTTAAATATTTTTCGACTCTAATATTCATTTATCATATTTAAGGTCAAAATATCGTTGACCATCCAGCTTATTAACTGGTTATGGGAAATTGGATGTTGGAGTGTAACCACAGAATGAAGATATTCATGGATTTTATGTAATATTCTGGCTGATGAAGGCTAGAAGTTAGCCGAAACGTTCGAACAAATATATTATTTATAGAGGATTGTTTTAGATCAATTGAAATAAACGCGCAATTGTTACAGCACCGATTCCTATAATGGTCCGTTTGTTAATTGTTTTAATATAAGGAATCTTATTTTATTGTAATGTCATGTCCTTCTATAAACTAAACTTAGAAACTGTAGAATTAATATTTAGTAATACCGAGGTATCTTTTATAATATATATCACTATATATACATATATATATTTTAATTTCTAACTTGTCTCTAGAAGATACTGTACATTTTTATCCATTTACATTGGTATTTACGAATTAAGAAATTTATTATTAAAAAAATAATACTAATGATAGGGATCTTATTCTAATAAGACACTACTCTCTAAATTCTTTGGAAGGAAATCTTACTCTAAAGAGTGAGAAATCTCACTGTTTTATAAAAGTAGTAAAATTTTCACTCTTTAGAGTGAAACTCTACTCCAAAGAATTTAGAGAGTATGTAATAATGATAAAATAAATGGAAATAGAAGTGAACTTTTTTGGGAGAAACTTTGATACGCGGATTTTTTGCGGGCGCGTCTCTTTCAAGGATTTTCTATTACAATATATTAAACTATCACATCTTCTTTGTATGTTTTAGTGGCGTCGCGGTGTCTTGTGGGGAATGCAGTAGCAGTGGCACCAGCGATATCACAGAACCGGGCTCACCGTGCAGCACCAGCAGCGACGAGGGGGTAGCTGCGATACGCGGCACATCCGCCAGTCCGCTACCGTCTAAAACCGCGTTCAAAAGGTTGAGGGGCGAACCCGAGGCTGGCGCCCTTCCGCGCTCCGGCGCCGCCGATCCCACCTCCAGGGGGGCCGTCAAGGCGAACGGAAAGACTGCGGGCGGCCAGCACCATCACGAGTCCCAGGGCAAGATCACGGAGTACTTTAAGACGCAGATTAAGCCGCAACAGCCGAAGGTTGATATCTATTTGAGATAGAGACGAATAACAAATGTGTCAGGAAGAAGTAAAAATATTTTTATGTGAAAATAAATAAGTAAGATGTTAAAGGCAAAAATTTTGATCAAAGAGATCTATAGAGATCTTTTTGTAAAAAATGAGTTTTTTCAGTTATCATAGATATCCAATTCACAATAGTTCTTTGTTTTGAAAAAAAATGTAAGTTCTGTAAGGTTGACTTTGAATGACACAGTTGGTATCTATTGTAGGTAGCCTCTCAAACACAAAAGCATCAACAGATCTTGGAATCTAAGAAAGTTCTATGAGATTTTAATTTTTAGATTTTAATTTCAAAAGTGCAAATGGATGGATGCTCGCATTTTCTTTAGTCTGAACTTCAGCTAAATTTTAATTTAAAGATTGCAGAAATATTGATTGTAGCGAAACTATGCAGTACGTTAATACTCATCGTTTGTTTAGCGACTTTTGATTTGCAGTTCGTAGAAGTTAACTAAAGGAAAAGTAGTAAAAGAAAATATTTCTTCGATCAAAACCAATGTTACAACGGAAGTGTTGAAGATATCGACCGGCTTTGCTTCGCGCGAACACTTCAGATACATACTCATCTTATCGGCGAACACGCGTTTATCGGATATTGAATTAGCCTTTTTTAACAAGCTCGCGCGTATAGGTCTTTTCCAATAGGTTGATATTAATTCGCGGAAACTGTTCTCGTTCTATCGATCGACAATTTAACATGACGCGTTCTCGATAATTCGCATTCACATCGCACCGTATTTAACGCTAAATATGTCTACGAGGCTAAATTAACATTAGACAAAGCAAATCATTGTACATCGATACAAGAAGTATGATAAGTTCGTCATAATACAGAGTTTTACGATAAGGGCTGAATGTTTTTGTCTAATACACGGTTACTTCGATGTCGCTCTTATCGTGATCCACATAGTGACCTCGCTTCGGTAAATAAGCATCGTTCTTTAATACTGAAATATTTATCAAAAAATATTGAGGGCACCGTATAAATATTTGAATAGTGTTTATAATTAATAACTCGCTACATTATTTAACGGTCATAAAAACTTGTTACTTTATTTTTGTAAAACTGGATATGTAAATTCAAACTGAAATATTATTAGGCACTAAGATCTAGCTCAAACGGAGTAAATCATTTTTCTACTTACAATTAGTTCTATTATGTGTCGGTTTAATATCATTTATTATTATTCTATTTTGATCTCTTTTGAAAAAAGTTGCACTGTTTATTTTTCTTCAATTGTCTTCGACACAATAATTCTAATATAAGCTACCTTTGTTACACATAAATAGTACTGAAATTTTTTGTTATGTTTATGTTGCCAGATAAAGAAAACGAACGAAATGGTATTGGTAGCGAAGAGCTCAGAATTTCGGAGGCCACCTATGGTGCAGAGGAATAAAGGCGGCCTCGCTAAGTACTTGGGGACCGTGTCGTCCAACACAAACCGCAGTACTGTAACCAACGAGCCCTGGGAAGTGAGAACACTGACGTCATCGTCGACGAAAAAGGTACCGCTGGTCATCGTGCCAAGGGCCAATGGCAAGATAGACAAGAAGCTACCGAAGCCACTGCCAAGTCTGCCAATCTCGAACGACGTACTGAAAAATCTGCCCAAGATCTCATCCCTTAGGTATAGATTTACAATTTATTTTTGCGGTATGTCTTAGCCCAATAGTGCTGATTGATTAATTAATCAATTAACTAGCTAATTTTTGCTATTAGACGCATATTGAGAGTTTCCCAGGCAACATGTGTGTCAAAGAGCTGTATCAAAGGCGTATTTCAGACTTTAAAAACGAAACTTCTTAAAAACGTCTTCAAACATCTTTAAGACTTTCCGTGTAGCTCGGATTTTTTTAAATATTGCTTTATTATATAATTGATTTTTAGTCAAAAGAAATGGAACATGGTAAGTAAAAGTTATTTCCTGATTAATAACTGTTTTATAATTTTTAATACAGATTAACTTCGGACGTAAGTATCAATTCAACCAAGGGCAGTTCTCCGCCCGCTACTGCCGCCGCGTCGCTATTGGGCGAACCGTTGGACTTCAAGGCAATCTTGACGAAGCCGCACGTGAACGAGAACAATAATCTAACGAACAGCTGTGGAAGTATCCTGGGAGCGTTAAGATCGCAAAGCGGCCACGAATCCCCTATTTCGAGGTTGTCTTCACCATCGAAGGAGGACAACAAGGATGAGGATGGCCAATCGGCGCCGATCGACGTTGATGAAGATGACGTTGATGAAGAGGACTCTTTAGGTAGCGAATCGAAACCGTCGCCTATTCTTTCGGCACCTACCACCATTCGATTTCCGGCACGAGCGCCCGAGAAAGATAGATCTCAAGCTACTGATAGCGGGATCTGTCGTTGGGATAAGTGCGAAGCCAACTTCGAGTCTGTAGGTGGTCTTTTGGAGCATTTACAGGTACACAACAGATAATTTTTTATCATACATTTTTTATCTTTACAGAAAATGTTCGTTGATCAGATCCTCGTATTTCTTATTTGAAAAATTCAAACAATAACTTATTAATATAAAATATAGTTTTTGTGTGCAATTTGTATATTCTTTATAGGCTGCGCACATCAACACGCAAACCGGCAGCGACAATTTCGTCTGTCAATGGCAGGGATGTAAGGTACAAGGTAGGACTTCATGTTCTCGACGATGGCTAGAAAGACACGTTTTGTCTCATGGTGGCAATAAACCCTTTCGATGCATTGTCGACGGTTGCGGTTGCAGATTCAGTTCTCAGGTAACGCGCGTGTTTTTCTCTCACAACACTGCCTTTATGCTGGTAATATTTAATAAAATATTTAGAAACTAATCTATATATTCATTTGCAGACCGCCCTTGAGAGGCACGTGAATGGTCACTTCAATCAACCGGAAACGAGCAACACTAACGGAAGACGTAGTTGCGAGAACGGTGGCAAGCTCGTTAGGAGGAATGGCAAGAAGCTTAGATATAGGCGACAACCTTGGTCTGGTGAGTGTCATTTCGCTATTTTATGCTGTTTATAGATTTGTTTTTTTTCTCTTGAAAATGTTTTATAGATTGATAAAAAATTATACATATTAATATCGAGATATCATTACAGCAAGACTTTTTGATTACTTTGACTCGGGAGTAATGGAGGGTCTTCAGCACAGGCTACTGGAATTAGCGACATCGAGGACGCAGGGGCGACTAGCTGAAACGCCAGGAAACTCGATGGCACTAACTAGTCAAGTAAGTTATAAGCGTAATAATTATCGCACTGTGCAGCGTCGTAATGTTCGCTGAGACTTACTTCGATAAAATTCCTCTTTCAGGTTTTAGCGAGGAGAGTCGAAATGGACGGAAAGACGAAGGTGTTATTACGATGGTATCCCCAAGATATGTAAGTTTCCTTGTTAAAAATGAACTTTAACTGATTATACGAATATCTAAAATGCTGATGATTCATTCTTATCATTGCGCGCTTTTTACAGAGAACCGGATGAATGGGTACTAGAATCCGAAGTACAAAGTACGAAGCATGTAGGTATTCGCAAAGCAGCCGCTAGTAATCCGGAACAAGTGAGTTTGGCTCTCTATCCCGCGATAAGCGGTCGCACGCCGCCGACGGTGCGAGCGAAGCAGCGTCGAAAACCAGTAAAGAACTCGTGATAATGCCGGCTGATCGGCCGGATACCAGAACTGACCTAACGAGCGCTGATATCTCAACCTTCTTCGAAGTGAAGAAGAACAGAGTGCTGCCGTTGATATGAGCACGACACGGTCTATAACACTTCCTGGTCGGTGAAGACGAAGGCCACGACGATGCGACCTGAAATACCCGAACGTATCGAAAGAGACAAAGACCGCTTTAGAAGATAACTAATCTAAAGATAAACGATCAATATGGCTCTGTTAAAAAAAATAAGAATCGTCGAAGGAAATCGTGCAACAGATAAATTCAGGATGTAGTAGACAGTAGCGATAAGAACAAGGGATACAGCAAATGGACGAACAAATAAATGATCATCCGTCCTCCGTTTTGAGGACGAGAATATTGCTCAGCAATGAACGTTGTCGTTATTTATCGATGGATACATCTACTAATGCGCTAGTTCTACGCGAATCCCTGCCACGAGTACCTCGCATAATTTGACGCTCGTCGGCTTCGGAAGCGCTAAGTCTGGGCCTCGAAAGTGCCTCACCGTGGATACGTTTTGTACCGTCTTCTACCGTGATCAAGATCCCAGGGACAGATGCGTGGTGAAAACGGTAGTAATGGTAGACAAAGACAAAAAGCGAAAAAAAAAGAAAGCAACAAAGAGGAGCTTTTGCGTATTTGGTTTTGCCAAAGGAAACAGAGGTCGTGCACAGACAAAATATTTAAGCGGTAGTTAACAATTTATAAAAAGATAATCACTCTGGTGGCCTTAGGATTCAATTAATATCTAACATCGGCCCCTTGGCACTTCCGGGAACTGAGTATCTTGGCGATCTCCGACGATATTTTGAAAGAAGGGAAGAGAAGGGAAAAGGAAAAAGAAGATGCTTCTCTATCTTGATTTACAACTCGGTAGAAACTCGCGTCGGCTGTCATCATATGATGACACGAAGAGGATCGAGAAGAAAAAACATGAGAAGACGGAGGAAGATCGTGGACAGCGCGAAGCGGACGCAGAAGACTGTATCGGGACTGTATGAGAAAATCGGAGAAGGGTATTTAGATTGTTAGGTGAGAATTCGAATGAGTACGAATGAAAATATGTATGTATGAGAAAGAGAGACTGAGTGATAATGCTCCGAATTCGCCGTTATTTCCCTGAATAGGGTGACAGTCTCCCAGGCTGGAAAACTCGGCATGAAATTGAAAGATTGCGGAATAATCGGACGATACGTACGCCATCGAGATTTCTATCGAGGATTATTTCTCTTCGTTCTTTGTAGAAGTGGAACGGAGAGGCGATGTACAAAACAAAATTAAGAAAAAGAGAGTGATTCTCAAGGCCCGAGGCATACCCGAGTCAGCTTTTGAAAAAGAGATGTATAGCGTCGAGTTTGCCTCGTTTCCGCGCCCGAGATGTATTCGATTTCTTGTGTACTTCATCATTCGCGTTATTTTTATTTTTCTGCTGAGTCTCGCGTAGCATGTTGACATACACTCGTCGCATTAAAGAGCGCAAAATTTAATCAAGTGCCAAGATGAAAAGAAACGGGAGTAAGTAAACATGCTGCCAACCACAATCGATGAGCTGTTACCCTCAAAAGGGGTAAATTACGTACGTAGGCTGTGTTACATTTCCCACGGACTTGTTAAGCAAAGAATGGGTTGAATGGATTGAACAAAGAGTGCGACGTGCGTCATGTTGTTGCTCTCGCAATTCATGTACGTGACTTCGCAAAAAGAGAAATAAATCAACAGCTATGTGAGATGTAAGCAGTTGAGAGCAAACGCAGTTAGCATATATCTATTTCATACCTCAATGGTTAAATTATAACATTTATTTAAAATAACATAATTATTATTTAAATTATAACATTTATTTAACTTTTTTTTAAGCCATCTTCAGCATGTATATCCAGTTTATAATTACATTATTTAATTACTTGGCATGTTGAGATGATTTACAATTCCAGTGTTGAAATAACCTCCTTAATCAGTTATGTGACTGTTAAGGAGGTTATTTCAACACTGGAATTGTAAATCATCTCAACATGCCAAGTAATTAAATAATGTAACCATAAACTGGATATACATGCTGAACATAAAAAGAAGTCGAAACGTTCATTGTAATAATAAATGTTATAATTTAACTATTGAGGTATGAAATAGATATACGCTAAATCTAACTGCGTTTGCTCTCAACTGCCTACATCTCACATAGCTGTTGATTGATTCTGAGAGCCTCTGTTAAATCAAATTTATAAGAGAAATAAATTTTGCGACACGCAAGCTTCTCGCGGATGATCGCGGAGCAGCAACGCCGCGCACGTGTGCATGCATAGCGAATAGAACTTCATATAAATTAAAGTTCGCAAGGAGAAGAATATGTGTCGTGTCGTATGAACGTATTGAACGAGTGAGAATTGATCGAGAAATAGACGAAACTGAGAGATTGACGAGAAAATCAGAATGGATGAGTTGATTGAATATGAATGAGGGATCGAGCGGCTGAAAAGAAATGGAGACCGTATGAGACACACAAACAAAGACGAAACGTCATTACACACCAGCTAAAAAACACTGCCAATATAATTGTAATTAAGAGCTCTACGACATTAATTAATTATTCTTACTATTATTGTAAAGTACGATTGTAAAACCCCAGACATAATACGAATAGCAACAGCGATAAGAATAACATCTTTCAACTTATCAGAAACTGTGTATTCTGGAGTATCCGATTTCTGAGAGATAAAATCGTGGTATTCCTATCGCTATCACTATTCCCTCGCATTGTGCCTGGGGCTTAAGTGTATAATCGAATAGATCTCTAGCTGACGCGCGAGGATATGTAGTAAGGAGGACATGTAATAAGAAGTGGCCGTTCCGATAATGCGTCGTTGTCACGTCCGTTCCACGATATTTTAACGATAAATACTTTTTCTCAAACTGCCCGCGTGTGAGAGGGTGTTCCGTGCACGCCGCGTGCACGGCGCATCGCGAACGCGAGGCCGCGAGTTGTAAATGTAAATACTTAGTTGAAATTATTGTAACGAAACGGCATATTACACGAATCCTGTACTCGCAACTGTAGGTTTGCTACCCGTCGACGCTAAAGCAAGCCACTTGCGAGCTATCTAAAAAAAGTATATCTCTCTGTATCCATTGATTTTCGAGCACAGCGTTTACCGCGAAGGCGGCACGCATACGGCGGTGGATTATTCCTTCCTTTTGAGGAAATCGAAAAATAAACACCGAATATAAACGCGTCACTGCCAGAATCACGCACTGCCAGCCCCGTCGTTCTAACGATGCGCCTCTAACGTAGTATCTCTCTCTATTACACGAGCATATATTCGTTCGTATTGTGCTTCTAAGAAACTCGTCGTCGGCTCTTTTCTCTTTATACGTACATACATACATACATACTCACACACATGGCCTAGCCGCAGCCACCGTTCCCGAATTTGTATATTCTTCGAGTGTATATCGTCGCTCCTAAAAAAAAGATTCATTAACATAACACTTTGTGATTTTATTTAAAAATTAAATTGTAACTAAATTCAGTTAGACGACAGTGTTTGGACGACATTCGTAGATTCAAGGTAATTAATTATTCATGCCTTGAAAGTATGTCTAGAGGTCTATTCTTTTTCGAAGTAAATTCTGAAGTCGAGTACACACTAATGCAACAAGTTGATAAGAAACAAATATAACTTGTTTCACTCCAATTTATTACACCAGTGTCAATTCAGAACTTTCTTCGAAAAAGAACAGGCTTTATCTAAGTGAAGAGGTAATTTATTTTTAACTTTAAAAGATTAATTAACGATTTATATAGTCTTCTTTAAGATCGACGATATTCTCCTGGCGCTCATGTATCGCGCACTGCCAAATTTTCATTGAGCACATGATCTAAGGCACTGCCAGTGAGACATACAAAACAGAAGTGTAAAAAGAGATACCGTAGGTTCTGCCGAGGAGTCCTACCCGCATTTCGAATCGACCCGTATTTCATCGGGACGACTCCTCAATGCCATACGATGTCTCATGAGGAATCTTCATGCGTTCTTGATTCCGCTTTTGGACCGAAACACAATAAAATATAAAAGTGAGAAACAAAGAAGCAAAGAAATAGCTACTATTAGAGTAATTTTAATGTATTAAAATTTACAAAAAACCATGGTATAAATACAAGGGTATGCTCGACCGGTGCTCTTGCGTATGGTAACGCTCACCAACCAATGAGTATTAGCACCTTGCCTACGTCATGATTATGTCATCATTACGCGGCAAATCCAAATGGTTAAAAATGAAGTAAACCATGGTAGAGTCAATTCATTAAGATAAGCGAAAGGATTTTATGAGAATGATGAGTAATAAGTATAAATTTGTGTAATTATTTTTGCATTATTTCGGTAATTATTTTTGCATACTTTCACTGCACAAACACTCATTATAGCCAAACGGAACGGCTCCAAGTCGTCATGGCATCCATATTTAGCCGGCCGAACGTGCTCTGAACGTAACCGAGATTGCACGCATATGACGTAGGCACGGTGATGCGCAGAGGCCTCCTAAACTCGTCTACCAGTCGAGCATACCCTCTCTTGTATTTATACCATGGAAAAAACAAAAATTCGAAATGTTACTTAAAAGATGTTTGATAGATAAGGACATCTTTGTTAGACATTTTAAGCGTTTGTGTTACTTTCGAAGTGAAATTTTATTTAATTTAATCCTTACTTTTCTTTTTTATCTTCATTTTATATTTTATTGTGTTTCGATCATTCATCACATGTTCGCCTAATTTTGTTTTTTTTTTGTGGCGCGATTATCCCCTCTTTCCGATTGTTATTTCTGTCGTTTCATCTTGTCATTTTTTATCGCACAATCTCTGCTCATGTAAAATAAATTGTCAATCAAGATTGTATCGATTAGGCAAGGGACCAATCTTTTATGTACGTGAAAACTTATCTGCCATTTTTCTGGCATAAATAATCGTTTTCATGGAATATGTCTTTCTTTGCAACCGACCAATTAGATCGATCGTATTTCAAGACTTTTTAGTTGATACGCGAACGTTTAGGTTTAATTTATTAGAGAGAGAAAACGAACTGAGCAAAGATTCCCTTAGTTATTAAGTTATTGTCATTTTCTTTTTTATCATTTTCTTAATATTAGCGTAAAGATGAAACGATAGAAAGAACTTTCGATTATTTAAATCGCGCTTGATCTCGTGGAATGAAAGAACCGTGACAAATGGTAAAGAGTGAGAGAGAGAGAGAGAGAGAGAGAGAGAGAGAGAGAGAGAGAGAGAGAGAGGAAAGCTCTCTTGGAATGTTCTTTCAATTAAATTCGAGCAGATGAGCAATATAAAAATCACGGAAAGGTACAATAAAGGTACATTAAGTTTTAATTTTTTGGACGAGCTCGGTATGGTACCTTAGCGATCCTGTTTACGATAAGTTTATTCGAGTTGCGGATATATTTAGGACGTTCTTGTGTATAATTATGTAATGGAGAGTCTAATTCCGATTAAGTATTTTCTACGTTATATTCTGTCGTGCGTTATTTCCCTGTTGTAACTAATTGCGAATATGAGTTACACCTGCGTTCATTGACTACGGTTACACGGACATCTTTAATCGGATTTAATATCCGTAGTTAGTAACTGGCTAATCACATTCGTTCCATTCTTTAGAGGAATAGCTATGATTGGCCAGTTTCATAACTACGATGGTATTAAATCCGATTAAGGGTGTCCGCGTAAACGTAATTATTGTCACTAGCCAAGAAAACGAATCGACTGCATTTAGCTAAACAAATTTTTTAGGCTGTGGCGTGGCGGTCGCATTTTTTTAACATGCTCGAATCGACAGCGGTAAATAAATTTTCTTCTGTAAACATAAAAGATCAAAAAATACACGTGGTCTAGCCACATACACATGTGCGTAATTGTAGCGT